CAATACGACATAGGGCTTATTTTATTTATAATATAGGCCACACACGTGTGTTTGAAACTAAATATAAACATTTTCATCATGGTTTTATTTCAAACAAACATATTCTTTCACCATCAATACACATTGAGCCCTTCTTTTAGGTAAAACGATCTATCTTAAATGTTCTTTCTATTTGAGTTGGAACTATTATGTGTTCAGTTAACTTAGAAGGCAAAGGAGGACAAGCAAAAGTTCTCACCCTCAATTTTTTTTTTTTTTTTTTTTAGTTTAGGGCTTATGTTATGTATATATTTTTTTTTTACTGAATATAAGCATTTTATTACAAACATATTCTTTCACCATCATTACACATTGAGACCCTTCTTTTAGGAAAAACGATCTATCTTAAATTTTCTTTCTTGAGTTAAGGACTATTATGTGTTTAAATAACTTAGAGGGCTAACCCTAAAAACCCCTAAAAAATGCGCAAAAAATTGTGTGTTTTTAATTCTAATTTCGTCGGAATTGATCAAAACTCCCTAAAATGTGCAATTTTTAGAGGAAATTGGCCTACTTTAACAAGAAATGCGCGCGAAATTTGAGATGTTTAGGCACTTTCAGGGGTGAAAAGGGCATCTTCAAGGAGTTTGGAAAGATTTTTCACAAATAGATATTTTCCTCTTGCCCCCCGGTGGTTATGCCACTGCGGAGAATATCTGGCGGCTTAGATCAAACGAGCTATGGACACTTGAAGTGGAGAAGGGGTTTCAGGGTGTTGTGAGCCTGGTCATTATAATATCTTTCTTTTAATTCTTGCCTTTATTTTTCTCTTCTCTTCTTTCTTTTCCTTTCCTCCTTCTTTCTCTTTCCTTCCCTCTCCCCTCTTTCTTTTCTCTTTTATTACCCATCCCGGTACGACGGTTTGGTCAGCCCGGTAAAAACCGTCAGGAGAAGCAGTCTGCCCCTCCCCCTCCCCCGCTTGTTACGCCACTGCATTTATACTCCTGGGTGGAGAGAAGAAATATAGATAAAGTGTCTTGCTCACAAGCAAAATGCATAGCGAGGGATTGAAACCCCTACCTCGTGGTTAGGAAATCAAACCGTTCCCGCTGCGCCATCAATATGTGTTGCATTGTTTATTTGCCAGCTCTTCCGTTGATTTAACTAAGGTACGAATTTGTACGAAAAACAGCTCCAGTGATTGCATATTAATCCCACCATAACTGATACATTAAATGCCGCTCTTGAATAAATACCACTCCCGAATATGGGCCACGGCGTTAATCCGGAAAATAAGAGTATTTTAATATAACATCACGAAATTTAAATGCGAGTACATTGAATGTGTTTTGTTGTTTTTTGTTTTTTTTTTTGGTCTCAACAAAAAACTATTCAACAACCGATTTCGCAGGGATTAAATAATATGGGGTATGTCGACGCTATTCATGTCAAATCCTTAACCCAGTCAGTTTTCTTCAAAAGATGTTGCTGCTGAAAAAGACTGACTCCAAGACATAGAACTTGGAAGATGTCAGATGGAGCAAACTGTACCATACTGTAGTGTAAAGTTGCAACAAATCAATACTTTGTATGCTATGCGTACTTGAAACGCTGCTTTAAAACCTCCCCATGTGCATAAAAACCTTAAATTCATTTCTATAAATTATTTTTAGGCCATAATATTGTATCAAATCTGACTAATTTTACTGATAAATGCTCTCTTAGTTCGTTATCTTGAATATACGTATTATAAAGTGGAACATGAGTTTATTAATAACTAGAGCAGTCACTCCGTTGGGTGAATACCTCCGCCCTGTGTCTGGATACCGAACAATACACAGGCCGTCTATGGGCGATTCCATTATTTTCTTTTATGCTCAAGGGTAAGTTCAAGGGAAAGTCGAATTTCGGTCACATTTTTCCTTCGACATTTCATCCCAAAAGGTAACAATTTCTTTCTTAGATTAGTATGTACCATTCCACAATTAAAGTTGTTGATGATCCATTCCTTAGATTTTGCGTAATGTTGAAACAGACAGGGGTGATTACATACCTCCTTGGCGGGGAGGTAATAATGATCACTACTGTACAAAAATTCACACTGTCCGATATTAGGATCAATCATTCCGGAACGTAACCAGAATACATTGCATACAGTCTCGTAAAATACAATATAGTGAGCTGTACTGGACTATTACAATAAACAGTAAAGCAGCACTTTGAGAATATATGAGATCTTTATTATCATCACAAGAATTCGTGTACGCAGTACACTTCTTCAAGCGAAACGTCAAGATACTCTTTTGAGAACTATATACGTGGTGCTTCAAAAACCTTTGAAACAATATTTAAGATTTAGTACATCATAAGACGAGCAATGAAAAGTAACTAAACGTAAACAAATTTAATAAATTTATATAAAGATGTAATTTTATATTGATAATTCCGTACCTTATTCTAAATAATGATTGTGCTTATAACTTTTTAACGTGTTCATGTCTGTATTTTATGTTCTCTCCCCAGAAAAGAATAGCTTTGGTTGAGTATGGCATATCGTGTTGAATAATAATAATAATAATAATAATAATAATAATTATTATTATTATTATTATTATTATTATTATTATTATTATTATTATTATTATTATTATTATTATTATTATTATTATTATTATTATTATTATTATTATTATGGCTCTGTACACAGATATGGTACAAGAAATAAAGATAACTTGTGTATAACAAAAAGAACACAAATATGGGACAAAAGGGCTTAACATATATAGGGCCAAAATCTGGAACGATATCAATGTAGAATTAAGACTCAGTAATAGTATTTATAAATTCAAAAGAAATTTAAATAACCATTACCATGAAAACTATAAGTGTAATGCAAACCTTTGTATAAATAATTGTGCTGTATGTAATCATATTTAACTTTTCTTCAGAATTTTCAATGACTATTGTTACTTTATTTATAAAATTTATTTTTTTTGTGATATAGTTGTTAATTTTATTTCATTATCAATGGGCGCCCGTTATAAATCTTGCTTGTTGTGGCGACCCTTTTTCCACTTTATTCAAATGTTCTGATGGGCTTATAGACTAGGAAAAAATCAAAAAAGAGACCTAGAAATCAAGTTTGGGGGAGTGGAATGTTAGAAGCAGTCAATATAGCCAGATATCCTAATTAATCCGTCCTGGTCACCCTAAGCCCTGTTGACACTTGATTTTTCACCTGGTATACAAATTTTGAAAAATGGCCGCCAAATTTATCTAAAATGTGCATATAATTGGAACTAAATAAGCTACAGATATGATGTTGGTGTCTAAAATCATAATTTCTATACAGGCAACAAACCCCTGTCTCTTATACACATCTAGATGTGTATAAGAGACAGGATATGATGTTGGTGTCTAAAATCATAATTTCTATACAGGCAACAAACCAGACATATAAAAACTACTGTCACTCATGCCAGAATGGAACATAATTAAAAAATAGGTGTTTATTTGTTTTAAAATATCCGCAAAATATACTTAAAATGTGTATAAATTAAGAATAAGTAT